TCTCCTACCCTGACAAGAGGAATGATGTCTTTATGAAAATTGAAGTATTAGTCATTTTAACTTTTATTGATTTATCAACATGTCTTGCTCTGTTATGTTTCTTAATATTGAGCAATTTGCAAAAATCTACTCACCTTGAATGCATTAACCGCTAGTAATTTACTGCTGGTCAGTGAGTTCTGTTAGCTAAAAACCATCTTTGTTACTATATATATTATAGGAGATTAAAACAAAAACTTTAAAAATCGCTACACAATAGCAGTCATATTTCAATACTACAAATGTGTCTCCTAGGGCAATGGTAAATTACTGGCAAGTGAACAATTAATTTCACTTAAAAAGCAGAATAACTTTTTTTTTTTTTTTTTAAACACAAACAATTAGAATGAGGCTTGTGGGTTTTATCATGATTAACCAATCAATTGTGACCAATGCTAAATTCAAACTAACCAAAAAAAATTTTTTACATAGATCATTACATGAAGTTGTCTGCATATAAATCCTAGACAATTTCATTTGGGGCAGATACAAATGGTTACATTATTTTGTAAAATATGCAGAAGTATGACATTCAACATTCACAAGAAGTTAAAGGGAAAAAGGTAGGGAGGAAATCTAACATAATGTTAACTAGTTATATGCTTGATCAGCTTCCTAAATAAAATTTTGTAGTTAGTAATTAAGAAACTGTTAAAAACTTAACCGTTTAAAAAAAGAAAATCAGATCATAAATACAAAACTACTTTGTACATTATTTGGACTATTGTCCTCATCTTTGTCGCCATATTTATAACAACATTTCGGCCGTTGTATGCTCCGGCCTTCTTCAGGTGGTTGGAATGTCGAACTGAACCCTTTATTTCACTCACTGGGGTAGACTGTTCTAGTTACACGTTTCATGGATGTCAGTTATATCCTGTTAATTTCCCTCTGAAAGTTCTCCACTGCCTTAACCGGGTATTGAACTCACACTCTTTGGGCCCTTTCACTGGATCTAACCAACGCCTTTATCCACTGTGTCATGTGTCCTCAAGTTAACTCACTTAGCTTTTGTTTTATCAAATTGTGAGTATTAAAAAAAAAATGCTGTTCCAAATTACCATATTTCATGCTGTATAATTTATACTTTTTCTGTAGATTTTGCTTAAAAATCATTACATTATAAAAGGCAACTTTTACCCATACATTTTTGTTTGCCTTCATATTTCTTGTCTAGAATAAATTTATCTATAATCTATAAATTAGTTTAAATGCAACATTTTGTTGCTTTTCCTTTTCCCATGATATCAGTGAATGATTTGGCAGCAGTTGAAAACCATAACTATATTATGATGGTCTTTAAAATTGCCCTAAATTGCATTGCAGAAAATTTGGAGGTTTCACTAACTTGTTGAAAATTAGATTTTGGTCAATGGCATGTTTCAGATAACATATTTGTCTGAGTTAATTTAATAACAATAGGCTTTGCAAAATGTGATAACTCTATTACAATTGTATGGCTGTTATAATGTAGGTTAAACATCCAACTTTTTTTCTTTTTTTTTTTACATGGGATAACACAGGGGTTGATATGCTATAAAATAGAAACAGTTTTTTTTTATACAACTTATCATCCAATTCTGCACACCTCCATTTCACAAGATGTGAAACTGAATTGATAATTTTGCATACCAAATTTGGTTAGCAACATTTATTTCTATCTAGAGTAGTTCATTTTAATCACATTATATTCATATAAGGAGTATGCCAAAGACACAAGCATTTCCTTTTAGGTTCTTCATTTTTTTAACTTAATACTTAAATGCTTCTTCACATTTGTGAACAGTTTATTGCAATAATAATATTCTCAGCCCAAATAATAAAAGTTCAGTAGATGCAAAGTGGATGTGTGGTGGTGTAATGGATAGTGGTTTGGGGTGAAAAATTTAAGAGCCAAGTTCAAATTCCAGTTGAGTTTGGTACATTCATTTATGTGCAAATGCCTTTGGAGAAAGGTATGAATCCATCTTCTTCTCCTTGCTATAAGTAAATAGCAGGATAGACTGGGCCCTATAGCCTTGGTTGGCAACTAGTCTAGGGGCAGAAAACCCTTGAATTCAAACCATCCTGGAGAGGATTGAGCTCCATCAGGTTATCTTGCCCAAAAATATTCAACTAAGCAGTTTTAACATCCATCTAGTGAACAATGAAATTATACTGAACAACTGCATTAAAATTTGGATAGAAGTAATGTGAGTTCTATGTAATCATAGCCAGATATTTGAGAATGCCCCTTGTAACAAAACATTCCTTAAATTGTTCCTCGTCATTTTTGTTGAATTTAATCATGAAATCTAATGACCTTCCCCGCCTATACAAACTGCTGTTTTATCTTCTTTTAAGGGGATTAGTTGGTATGTATTATTCTCCTTAGAATATTCATTTCATCCTACATTACTTGCCAGTGGTTTGAATTAAAAGTGACAACTTCTTGATATGTCTTGAGTACATTAATCAATGA